ACAACACTCCTTTGTTCTTAGGTTTTCACAGATGTGATTCTGTCTGGAGCTCCTCTGACATAGCAATGTCTCACTGGTCCCTGAAAACATGCTTAAGACAATTATTATAACCTCAGAAAACATGAACCTTTCTTAGCCATTGTACCTCCTCTGAGAGGTGAAGTAAGACCACTCCTATTCAGTGTGAACTGCAGGTTTTTTTTGACTGAGCCATGGAAAGGAAAAGGAGGTGGTTTTGTACTTTTCCTTCACTATAAGCATGAAATAACTATTAATGCTAAGAGAAGCTTTATGTGAGCCCTGTGATGGAACTATATGTTCAAAACCATGAGAAGAAGTCATCTCAGTGGACTGGGTTGACTATCATGTATATGCAAGAAAAGGATTAGGGGTTGTTCAATCATAGGATGTTTCCTTCTACATTTCATTTTAAGATAGTTGTGGCTTAGCAACTTTAAACTTATACATGGTTTAATGGTTTCATCCTCTTACTTTCTGACAAAATATTTAAATTCACATCTATTTCTTAAAAGACCAAGACTTAAAACATAGGAATCAAGGCAGCCAAATATATTTAAACATAATAAGCAATAGACAGTACTAAAAATTATAATATACTTTAGAAATTAACCTGAGGTAAAACTCCACCATGAGATCTATGGAATAGATTCTCAGATTAGCTAGCTAAATAATGAATATCACAGAAGTAATAACCAGATAAGCAGTTACAAGGTTATATGGACCTCAAGCGTACCCCTGAGAATCTGCAGGATATTTCTACATAATGTATCCACTGTAGTTAACAGACTACAATTTCACTTCAGGTTGGACATGCAATTGTGAGATGTTATTGTATTATTAATAAACTTGGAAAAAGTCAACCTTTTTAAAGTCGTTGCACACTAAGCAACGTATTTCTACAAGAGTTAAAGCTAAGAGGTAAAATGATGAAAAAGCTCTTTCTTATCCTCATAGCTGAACCCATGTTCACATGAAAACTGTAACTAAAACCAATGTATTTGATAAGCATGCACCTCATATGTATGTAAATTTTTAAAAGAACAGAAAAAGAATAAGAAGAAATGGAAAAACAAATCAAAGATAATCAAGAAAGATAATTAGATAATGTAAAAAAAAACCACTCCATAGCAACAAAATAGAAGAGATTATTTATGTAGATTTACAACTAGATGAACTCCAGATGTATTTTTTAAATCTACTTCTCCACAGGTGTTTTTCTGCTTAATAAATATAACATCCAAGTTGGAATATGGTTGAAGCATTGAATCACCTAAATTCTGGCTATGCTCTTCTGCTGTTAACTATTTTAAGCTACTTTTCAATAAAGCAGCCGCTACTGAAATCATAAGTACATAGGCTTGGCAAAGCCAGAAAGAAAAAATGCATCCCACAGATTTGTTTCTTCTGTTTTCCCAAAACAGAATCTCATAAAAAATATGCCCTAAAATTCTGTCACTATGTAGCTGTCAGAAAGAGCAATTCTGTTCCTCTTCATAACTCTGAACATTAAGCCCATTCCTTGTGCTACTAAGAAGTTAGATCGCTCCAGTAGGTTGCAAGGCACCATCACAACTATTCAAATTGTATCCAGGCAGAATAATCAGTCAATCCAAAATTTCAGTTTTTGGGGAAAACTGAAATTTTTTGGATAGGAGTTTTTGGGGCCAACTTGGACAAACACACAAGACAAATTTGAGTTTCCTGCCAGGATCACTTCCAGGACACTGGCTAATTAATTATGAAAACTTTCTCAAAACAAATATAAGCCTGGAAACCTTTTTTTTTTTTTTTCCTGTCCAAACAGAGAAAAAACAAGTTAAAAAAAAGTAAAAGCCAGGGTTTACCACAGCTTCATCTTACTTGCAAATCCACTTTCCTTTTTATTACCCTAAAATGATTCAGGAGTTTTTATTTTTGAATTTACCAAAATAGGAGGTGTAAAAACTGAAAATGTTAGTTTGATTTCTGTGCCTCAACCTTTGGTTGTAGAAGAGATTATGGATTAGTTACAAAGCTTCTCTTCAAACTCTGGTAGGAAGAAAGAATGGAGTTTCTTCCTCTTTTGAAGAACTCTTTGGATTAACTATAGCTACTGTCATAAGATACAAATTAGATTAATAGTTGCTCTTATAATTATTTATTCATCAACCTTCCTTTGCTGGCTTTGACAAAAAAAGGAACAACATTCCTAAATTAAATTCTCCTGGCTTCATCTTAACATGAACCTTGATGACTATGAGATGTTAGAGATATACGCTGAGGATTCTGGTTTTAAAGACTCCATTCTTAGGGGCTTATAACAAAATCAATACCCACAAAAAATGTTCCACATATTTCTTCTACTACTGGAATCAAAATTTGATGTAACGTGCATCTTAAGCCATCAAATTTCTTCCACATATGTCCAGATATGAAAAGACCCAGTAAGTTAGTAAATTTCTCTGTCAGCATTTACCAGCTGCTTCTTGTCAAATTCCTGGCAAGAGGAGAGCTGCCCTTAATAAAAGAAGCCTTCCTCAAAAGCTCCATCAACAAGCTATTCCTAAGCCTAATTACTACACTGCCTTATCCAGTATTAAGACCCATAGCAAGCCTTACAAATAATCAGCATGGTTGATAAACAATGAATGGAGACAAAGTATATGAAATTGATTTAAGGAAACTTCTAGTGGTCTGGGTTCTCCATTTTCCACTACAGGTAGGTATCTACCAATGTACCCATATTTAAATTCTCTTCTTCCTGATCATTCCAAGAGGTAGACAGATGTAAGGGAGGTGACAATTCACATTAGCATCTGAAGGAGGAGCAGCTCAAGGAGTCAAGAATGTATCTCAATGTGAAGAGGGAGGAAAGTAATTAGTCCTGACCTAAACCTGTTCCTCTTCTGGGGAACACAAATGAATAAATGAAAATAAGGAAGATAACATCAGATTTCAGAGCATCATAAAGGTCATCAAGAAGTCCTGAACTTAAAACGGTGGGAAGCCATTATTTGTTTTTAATCTAGAGTAGAAAAATGAGGGCAACAATGTAAAAAACATATTGAATTGAGAGAAAATGAGGACAAGAAATGATTCCAACAGCTTTTCTAGCAATTCAGATCTGAGATGACGATACTACAAGGAAGGGAGGGAGGGAGGGAAGGAAGGGGTGGAGGGGAGGGGGTGAAGTGGGGGTGGAGGGGAGGGGAGGAGTCTGGATGGAATGAAATGTACACCCTTCCCGTACTTTTTAGAATTCACCAAGGCCTATAAACCTCCATCACTACTACAAGTGCTGTCAGTTAAAGAAGAACACCATCATGAATACGGGTTTTTGGGAAAAAAATATAAAAAAACTAAAAACAGAAAATTGTGAAAACAGGAATCTTCAAACTCACCTACTTAAAAGACAGAAAGAGAAAGAACAAGTCATGCCTCAGTACCTGTGGGGCATTGCTTCCATGACCTCTCAGGTAACAAAACTGGAGAATGCTCAAGTCCCTGATATAAAATGGCATACTATTTGCACATAACCTACACACATCCTCTTAAACACTTTAAATTGCTCTAGATTACTTATAATACCTAATACAATATAAATGCCATATAAACAGTGGTTATGATATACTAGAGACTAACAGCAAGAAAAATAAGTCTGTACATGTTCAGCACAGACACAATTTTATTTTCATTTTGTCCATGGTTGGTTGAATCCATGGATGCAGAACCATGGATATGGAGGGCAAACTGTACAATCAGCATATCAAGCATGATGCCAAATGGAATCACACTCTACTATATCAAAAGACAAAATGGTAAAAGAGCAAGAATCAGATATTTGATTTTCTGAGGTGAGTTACGTATTATAGTTTCCATTTAGCATAGAACAAAACTGCTGTCCATCATTACACAACTAGCCAGTTTTGGAATAAGTAGCAAGACCAAATTTTCTTGCTTCACCTTCCTTCTTTCCAATATATGCTACTTCCCCTCCAACCCTAGGGAAAGGGTCTAGGATTTCTATGATTTTTTAAATATGCTGCTTTCATTTCTTCAAAACTTTGAAATATTTTAATTAGGAACCATTTTTCAATATATTCTTAAAATATAATTTTAAAAACTATATATTCTTAAAATATAACTTTCTTGCACAGATATTTACCCAGCTGGAAAATGATGGCCCGGTTCATACCATATTCTCTTCAAAAGAAAGCAAACAGATATTCAAAACCTGATTGCTCTTCATTCAACTATACGTTTTAAAAGACAAATATTTAGCTAGCGAGACAACTGTCATTATATTTCCCTACAGTATCCCCCAAAAGTTAACAATGTCAGCATTTCTTGGCATTTTTTTTTTCCTAGAGACAAATCTCCCTCTGTCACCCATGCTGGAGCTCCGTGGTGTCATCTCAGCTCACTGCAACCTCTGCCTCCCAGGTTCAAGCAATTCTCATGCTTCAGTCTCCTGAGTAGCTGGGATTACAGGCCTGCGCACTGTAGCTGGCTAATTTTTGTGTTTTTAGTAGAGACAGGGTTTCACCACGTTGACCAGACTGGCCTCCAAAACCCAGCCTCAACTGATCCGCCCACCTCAGCCTCCCGAAGTGCTGGGATTACAGGCATAAGCCACTGTGCCTGGCCAGTATTTCTTCATAATTTACCAAAATATTTTTTTCATAAATTATCTCACTTAATCCCTAGAATAAACAGAAGGCAGAGATTACTACTATTTTTTAAAGCTGAGACAACAATTACTCTAAGACTTAAATAGCTCAAGTGAATGCATCTGCAACAGCTGAAGTAGACTCAAATTCTTTCCTTCTGATTCCAGCTTCCTTCATACACTGCTTCTCCTTCTCCCAGGAAAAGTGCAAACTGTTGTCTGCACATAAAGGTCCATTTTAAGTGAGGCAACCATCACCCGTAATCCTTTCTCAGCATCTTTTAGACATATGTTGTCTTACATTTCAAAGCAGCAAGAATATTTTGCTTACCTGATCCTTCTCTGGTTTATCAGAAATGTCATTCAGACTGGAAGAAGTCAGATTCCTGTGGGTCATGGCTGGGCTACCTGGAAAAACACAAGTAAATGCTAATTAAAGACTTGTTTTCAAGAGCACAAAGACTTTGGCTAATTAATAAACAGTAGTAGATGATGATGGAAATGGAAATGATAGTTTTAACCACTCTAGGATTCTTCTGAAGAGTTTTCCAGAGGCCAGGTTGGAGTACAAACATAGTTAAATGCAAAGTATGTAAAATCCCAAATACCTGGTTTAGGACTTATTGCCTGGTTCAATTTGAAGATAAGCTAACCTTTGAAAGAAATTTCTAAGACAATAAGTATAAAAATAACTTTGCTCCAGGTTTGGTTACTCTGTCATTGCCTTTTACATACTTGTGAATATACCTGGTTTTCTTTCCTTTTCCTGTTGCCTGCAGAAACCAGCTGTTTCCTCATCTTCAGCAGAGCTGACCCCTGGATATCAGGCCCAGGCCTCCTCTCCACCAGGCCTTGGCAGCCCTTCCTAGACCACCACTCACTCAGATCAACCTGAAAAGACTTGGTCAAAGTGTTTCCTTCTCTGGCTAACACCTGGATTAAGAATATTTCTCCTCAGTGGGCATGTGATCTAGAATCCTCACTCTATGCCTCAATAGAGTCATCACAGGCTCCCTTACTTCTCCACACTCCCATTTGCCAGAATAAAATAAACATATCCTCTTTTCCCCTTAACATGTTAAAACTCTTCTTCAAGTGAAAGGATGGAGGTCATCCGAACACTACATGGGAACCAATCTCCCTGACCATATGGCAGCTGTCAATATGGTTCACTGATAACCCATGCAATGGTTTAAGACACTATCATACGTGAATAGAGAGGAAAAACATGTAGAAGAGCCACAGACTGTTTTCAAGTAGACCACGTTAATCAACAGAATACTGAACTTTTATTCTGCAGTTGTACCTGAAATTTCTAGGCTTACTAAGCAAAAAGACTAACTTTTCAAAGCCAAGATGTTTGACCCAACTGCTGCAGGGTGCTGAATAATGCATTCATCCTTAATCCTCAATGATCTGACTCAGGCTGGTCTTCACAGCAAGAGGACAAGGGTTGAAAAGAAACAATGAAGTTCTAACATAGCTTCTCATTTGCTTCCCAATAATTCTTTAGATCACAGACTTTAATTCCTTCAGATAGAAACTTTAACATATAATTTCACAAACGATTAAAATCCACTCCTAATAAGCTAATGCCTATATAACAGCAGTTCTTTAAATAATTTCATTCCTTTTAACTACCAGGTCAGAAAAATTATAATATCCTTGAACCGGCAAGACAGGATATTTTCCACTCTGCTGCATTTCATCGAGTAAGCATGGCCTAGATCTCTTAAATCTTTTACCTGGTTGGGCGTTTTATTCTAGGAAAATTTGAGCTCAGGGCATTATTCAAAGGAAAATAACATTTGAAAATGTGCTTTATGTGCAAAATTAAAAGAAACTCTTTGAAGAACACATTTTCTTCTTTGAGCCACGTATTAGATTTCTAGTGTCCACTCAATACAAAAGATACCAGGGACAATCTTCAATGCCTCCCAAATAATGCTGTGAATGAAGCTAATAGAAAATGATGAGTACAGATAATTTTGCACTTTACATTTAAAAACAAAACCAGATATTTGGACTAACTGGGTAAAAGTTCTGCCCGAATAAGTGAAGAAATCTGAATTATACAATCCTAAAACAATAAAGCCTTAGCAATACTAATCATAAGTTAAAAATCGCTTATATAAATAAATAAGACAAATTTCTACTCATGAAATCATTTATATGTAAGTAGCAGTACTGAAATAAATTTAAAGCAGGTTTCCATACAGTAATTTAAATTTCCAAGGCAATAGCCTAAAGTCATTGATTTGCTTTAGGCGCACTGTATAAATACTGCAAAGGCACATTTCAGCCTAAGCACTGTCCTTCCTAACTGCTGCAAAATCTGAATAGGTAGAAGCCAAATTAATGAGGTTTTCTTTGTATTGGTAATCTTGATTGGTGTAACAACTTTTTCATGAAACCTTAGAAACCATCTCATCATTCTTTGTATTTCTGAAAGACAATGATAGCATGGCTATCTATATTTATGCTATATGAGGAGCAAGAGAAAGGTACACGTCCAAGATAAATGCAGGAAACAGAAGAGGAAGAGAAGACTAGTATTAAGAAATAATCAAATCTGTTTCCTCTCCTAACTTTCTCTGATTCTCATTAATAAAAGTAACTAATATTAACAGCTTTACTAATGTTTAACACTGCAAGAGTTTGCTAGTCAACACTTCCAGTAACTAAGCAAGATGATCAGCATTCTTCAATCTTCTTCCATCCCCCTCCCTACCAAACGCCCCATCCCGACTTCCTAAGACCTTGAAGCAGAGACAAGTCCTCCCCAATGCTCTAAATCAGTGGTTTCTAAAGTGAGATCCCTAGACCAGCAATATCCACATCTTGCAGGACACTTAATAGAAAGGCAGGTTATTGACACTCACGCCACGCCAATTCTTTTTTTTTTTTTCTTTTTTTCCATAAGTTAGATTTCTAGTGTCCACTAAACAGATGGGAACAGGTGGTATTCAATTCACGTATTCAATTACGTGAGTAAGTTCTTTAGTGGTGATCTGTGAGATTTTGGTGCATCCATCACCCAAGCAGTACATACTGGACCCTATTTGTTGTCTTTTATACCTCACCCCCTCCTATCCTTCCCCTCAATTCCCCAAAATCGATTGTCTCATTCTTATACGTTTGTGTCCACATAGTTTAGCTCCCACATATCAGTGAGAACATATGATGTTTGATTTTACATTTCTGAGTTAGTTCACTTAGAAAAACAGTCTCTAATCTCATCCAGATCACTGCAAATGCCGTTAATTAATTCCTTTTTATGGACGAGTAGTATTCCATAATATAAATATACCACAGTTTCTTTATCCACTTATCGATTGATGGACATTTGAGTTGGTTCTACAATTCTGCAATTGTGAATTGTGGAGCTAGAGTAATTCTACTTTTAGTTCTTTAAGGAATCTCTACACTGTTTTCCATAGCTGCTGTACCTGTTTGCATTCCCCTCTGCAGTACAGAAGGGTTCCCTGATCACTGCATCTACACTAATATCTACTGTTTTTTGATCACAGCCATTCTTGCAGGAGTAAGGTTATGTTACACTGTGGTTTTGATTTGCATTTCCCTGATCATTGGTAATGTTGAGCATTTTTTCCATGTTTGTTGGCCATTTGTTTATCTTCTTTTCAGAATTGTCTATTCATGTCCTTAGCCCACTTTTTGATGGGATTTCTTTTCTTACTGAGTTGAGTTTGTTGTATATTCTGGATATTACTCCTCTGTCAGATGTATAGATTGTGAAGATTTTCTCCCACTCTGTGGGTTGTCTGTTTACTCTGCTGACTGTTCCTTTTGCTGTGCAAAAGCTCTTTAGTTTAATTAAGTCCCAACTATTTATCTTTGTTTTTTATTGTATTTGCTTTTGGGTTTTGGGTCACGAAATTCTTAAGTCAACATTTATAAGGATTTTTCCAATGTTATCTTCTAGAATTTTTATAGTTTCAGGTCTTTGATTTAAGTTCTTAATCTATCTTGAGTTGATTTTTGTATAAGATGAGAGATGAGAATCCAGTTTCATTCTCCTACATGTGGCTAGCCAATTATCCCAGCACCATTTCTTGAAAAGTGTATCCTTTCCCCACTTTATGATATTGTTTACTTTGTTAAATATCAGTTGGCTGTAAGTATTTGGGTTTATTTCTGGGTTCTCTATTCTGTTTCATTGGTGTATATGCCTATTTTTATACCGGTACCATGCTGTTTTGGTGACTATGATCTTATAGTATAGTTTGAAATCAGGTAGTGTGATACTTCCAGATTTGTTCTTTTTGCTTAGTCTTGCTTTGGCTATGTAGGCTCTTTTTTTGGTCCCATATGAATTTTAGAATTGCTTTTTCTAATTCTGTGAAGGATGGTGGTATTTTGATAGAGAGTGTGTTAAATTTATAGATAGCTTCTGGCAGTATGGTCATTTTCACAATATTGGTTCTACCCATCCATGAGTATGGGATGGGTTTCCATTTGTTTATGTCATCCATGATTTCTTTCAGCAGTGTTTTACAGTTTTCCTTGTAGATGTCTGTCACCTCCTTGGTTGGATATATTCCTAAGTATTTTATTTATTTTGCAGCTATTGTAAAAAGGGTTGTGTTCTTGATGTGATTCTCTGCTGGGTCACTGTTGGTGTATAGAAGAGCTACTGATTTGTGTACATTAATCTTGTATCTGGAAACTTTGCTGAATTATTTTGTCAGTTCTAGGAGCTTTCTGGAGGAGTCTTTAGGGTTTGCAAGGTAAACAATCATATCATCAGCCAACAGTGACACTTGGACTTCCTCTTTACCAATTTGGATGCCCTTTATAGCTTTTTCTTGTCTGATTGCTCTGGCTAGGACTTCCAGTACTATGTTGAAGAGGAGAGGTGAGAGAGGGCATCCTTGTCTTGTTCCAGGTCTCAGAGGGAATGCTTTCAACTTTTCCCCATTCAGTATTATGCTGGATGTGGGTTTGTCATAGATGGCTTTTATTACATTGAGGTATGTCCCTTGTATACTAATTTTGCTGAGAGGGGTGCTGGATTTTGTCAAATGCTTTTTCTGCATTTATTGAGATAATCATGTGATTTTTGTTTGTAATTCTGTTTATGTGATGTGTCATATTTATTGACTTGTGTATGTTAAAGCATCCCCGCATCCCTGGTATGAAACCCACTTGATCCTGGTGAATTATCTTTTTGATATCTTAAAATCAAAAATCATATCTTTTTATTTTAACATAGATGCTAAAATCCTTAACAAAATACTAGCTAACCAATATGGATTTGGTTAGCTAGTATTTTGTTAAGGATTTTAGCATCTATGTTCATCAAGGATATCGGTCTGTGGTTTTCTTTTTTGGTTATGTCCTTTCCTGGTTTTGGTATTAGGGTGATGCTGGCTTCATAGAATGAA